TACTATACCTGGAGCATTAAATTGAAGAGGAATGGTGTTACATTTGTTGTTTTAAAGAATATTTCAAGCTCTGATGGTGTAGTGGTTAAGGCATTTGGCAGCTAATTAAAAGGTCAGTGGTTCAAGCCCACCAGCTTCTCAGCAAAAGAAAGATGAGGCAGTCTGCTTCCATAAAGATTCACAGTCTTGAAAACCTAATGGGGGTCGCTATAAGTTGGAATTGATTCAATGACAGTGAGTTTGGTTAAGGAGCTTTGGTGGTGTAGTGGTTAAGGCATTTGTCTGCTAACCTAAAGGTTGGTGGTACAAACCTACCAGCCACTCCATGGAAAAAAGATGAGGCAGTCTGCTTCTGTAAAGATTTACAGCTTTGGAAGCCCAATGGAGGTCACTATGAGTCAGAATCGACTCAATGACAGTGAGTTATTATTATTATTGTTATCCTGAAATACAATGCTGTTAGTGATTGATTAATATCTGTATGCCTACACAGAAGACCAGTTAATGCGACCATTATTTAAATTTATGCATCAACCATGAGTGACAAAGATGAAGAAATTAAAGATTTTTCACAAACTGCTGCAATCTGAAATTGATTGAACACGCAGTTAAGATGCATTGATAATTATTGGTGACTGGAATACAAAAGTTGGAAATAAAGAAAGATCAGTAGTTGGAAAATATGGTCTTGGTGATAGAAACAATGCTGGGGATCACATGATAGAACTCTGCAAGACCAATAACTTATTCATCAGAAATACTTTATTCAGCAGCACAGTTGATGACTATACACGTGGATCTTGCCTGCTGGATTACACAGGAATAAAATCAACTACATCTGTGGAAAGATATGGTAGAGAAATTCCATTTCATCAGTAAAGACAAAGCCAGGGGCTGACTATAAAACATACCATCAATTGTTCATGTGCAAGTTCAAATATGTTGTTGTTGTTATGTGCCGTCGAGTCAGACCCGACGCATAGCGACCCCTCCTTGGGTTTCCGAGGCAGTATCACTACAGAGGTAGATTGCCCAACCTTTCTTCCAAGGAGTGGCTGGTGGGTTCAAATAAAGCTGAAGAAAATTAAAGCAAGTCCACAAGAATCAAAGCACACTTGTAAACAGTGACCTCTCCTTGGGTTTCCAAGATGGTATCACTATGGAAGTAAATTGCCCCATCTTCCTTCCTAGTAA